TTGTATATTTCCCTACAACTCGTAGTCTATCATATGACCCCGGCACGATTCGAACGGACAACCTTCTGATCTGGAGTCAGATGCGCTACCGTTGCGCCACAGGACCAAGCCGACGATGTACAGCATCCTCCAAAGAAAACATGCAGGTGAGTATTTTGTATTTTCCTACCACCCGTAGTCTACCATATGACCCCGGCCCGATTCGAACGGACAACCTTCTGATCTGGAGTCAGATGCGCTACCGTTGCGCCACAGGGCCAAGCCGACGATGTTCAGCATCACCCAAAGGAAACATACAGGCGAGTATTTTATATTTTCCTACAACTCGCAGTCTATCATGTGACCACCACCCGATTCGACCGGACAACCTTCTGATCTGGAGTTAAATGCGCTACCGTTGCGACACAAGGCCAATCTGAGGATGTACAGCATCCTCCAAAGAAAACATGCAGGTGAGTATTTTGTATTTTCCTACAACTCGTAGTCTACCATATGACCCCGGCCCGATTCGAACGGACAACCTTCTGATCTGGAGTCAGATGCCGACATTGTTCAGAAGCCTCGAGAAGAAACATGCAGGTGAGTATTTTGTATTGTCGTAGAACTCGTGGTCTAGCATATGATCCCGGCCCAATTCGAACCCACCCGAATCGCTAATGTCCAGTAGTGTATGTCTACATATTAAACGATCCAGAGAGTTTCTGGCAGGAATCTGTGGAACGAATGAGAGAACTTCAGCGATGAGAGTCAACGCCATACGGTGCATTTGTGAAGTTCTGATAATCATGATAATCTACCCAACTTAACAACTCTGAATACCATTATTTTTAACTCTGCATTATTCAGCGTTGAACAAGTCTGTGAGGAACTTTCCAAATAAATGGAATTAATCATCGACGAACCTCACTCGGCCTTCGCTGCGCGAGCTCAGTATCGATATCCCTAAACTGCCGCGTCATCGGAGGATACAAGAAAGGCCTCAAGTCAAATCTATTGTCATCAGGGGAATATGCCTCAGCATGATACGAGGGAGTCAACACAGTGCCTGCGTCACAACGATGCTACACGCTCCTGCAACGACTGTCGCTCCTTACACTTATGCCTGTTCCTGCAGTAGCAGTTGAAGAAGTGCTTCACCTTATCTGCAACCTCGTCCGCACTCTCATCACGGCTTTCACCCCACATAACTCGGAGTTTATGGAACATTTGCACAGGACCGCAGCGTTCCATCTTGCGCAGTCGGCCGAACCAGCCCAGTTCCTATGCAACAGAGAATACACCATTAATCCCCATCATTCAAAAGCCCACATTGTAGGTCATGCCCATATCAACCTCATCGAGCTGTGCCGGTTCACCCTCAACTGTAGGCCGCAACTCTGCCGTTGGAGGAGCTTCAACCTTCAAAGAAGCACATATCACTACCTCCACAAGAGAACTTACGATTTCTGCAAGAGCTGGGTACCCTAGGTTAGTCGATGCCCAAACAAGAAAGGACTTGAGATCTCCCTTAGAGATGCTGCCTATGGGATTGATGTCACCCGATGAACAATCATACTTCGTTAAATAACCACGAAGTGCCTCGTCGACATTCCCTAATAGGATATCAAAATACCCTCGAAAGACCGCGAACACGCTCTACCAGTGGAAAGTACGAGTAAATAACCTCCACGCCTCCTAGCGTGTGGAAGGAGCTGTGCCAGCATAAACGACATTACCATCCGACTTCGAGCTTGGATATTCTGCAATGCCATATCAGTGGTCCGAGTACCTGACCATCCCCCCTATGCAGGCCAGCAGAAACCCAAGAGCTCACCTCCCTGTGAGAGATACTTCGGAATGAGCCCCTCGTCGACCTTTCCTTCCTCATCAGTAATGACATAGTCCGTAAAGGCCTCCTCAACAGCATCACAGATGTTGTCAATCATCACAAACTTGTGGTAGCTGCCGACCTAAACATACACATGCAAGACTCGCTCACCGTCAATGACCTACCTGATCAGCGATCCTCTGGGCTAGGTCACGAGTGGCCCCTCCCGAGTTCTTCGATGCTAGATATGCTGTGTGGATGATGCAGTGAGCAAGCTCTTGGGCAGTCTTCGGGAGCACCTTAGAGTCATCAATACTTCGAGTTTCGCAGAGTATGTTGATAATGATAAATATTCGTTCTGTTCGATACACCTCTTCTGAACTTCAAACTCGATCCTCGGAATGCTGTTGAAGCTCAGTAAAGGCCTATTGAGCACGCCTCCGCATAACGCGACCAGTGAAAGTGAATCATAATTGGGCCACTAACGTTACCACCTCAGATGCAGTAATCCGCTTCACGTCCGCCTCAACTTGCTTATCGCCTTCCACAAGGCGTTTCATGACCAGCTGGCACATGGAACCGCATATGGCCAGGACCTGAAGGGAATCGATATCAAACCAGCGAACCGCCCCCCCCTTCCTTACACTAGCACTGTCCGCTCCACCCGAGAGCGGTATGAAAAAACCTGAGGCCCCGCTACGACGAAGGTAATCCCAAAGCCAACACGCAGGCCCTGAGGAGAGAAAAAGGTTGTCAATCAACACGAGCCTATGTCGCAGTCTCACCTTGTGCTATTTCCTCCATAGGATCGCAGACTATTGGTTTCACTGGAAGATTCGCCGATATGAATCTACACTTCAACGTGGGACAATTACCCAGCGGAACAGCATTGTACTTATTGGCGGGGTCGCAGAGACGAAAGTCTCTACAGTGAACCCGAGGTATTCGTGAACCCGTCAAAGCCGCCGCCTGAGTGCACCTGGACTTCTTACTAGCACGATAAGAGCGGACCTAACGATATCATATAACTAACAGATATAAGATGTATGAAGCAATACCTCCTCAAGATCGACATTAGCGGTGATGACCTCGATCTCCTTGATGGCAAACTGTGACCCTTGAGCACGGACTTCACCATTCACGGCTATCAACGATGAACCATCGAAGTACCTACAGATATTGGGTAGGGGATATGGTATCGCTACAAGATGTAGAAATGTCCGCACGTCTTGCGATGTACTAAGATCATCAACTGTGAGTCTAGCAGTATTTCAATTAACTCGACGACCCTGCAGTATGCAAATATCGAATATTACAGTCTCCCGCCATCACAACCCATTGAGTTGGCATATAAATATACTCCTCCTGACTTGGACGTAGCACCTAGAGAGAAGCCCATCAAGATTAAGCATAGCCCAGTGAAACATTGGAAAATATGCACAAGTTCGACTACAGGTGCTGGTGAGAATGTGAAAATTCGGAAGAAATTTCGGGAAATTCTACAAAATTCTCGTTATTCATACGAAATCGGATAAAAGTGTACAGGAACCAACAAAGATTGCGCAAAATTTCCTCGAAATTTCCATATTATCACCAACACACGTAGTTGAGCATGTACATATCTTCCCACACTGAACCCAGTAGCGCTACCCGCAATCAGTTTCAGACGCTTCTTGAGCTTCCTTAATTCATGATGTGACCCACTACCATTGGCGATGATATCCACACCATCAAGGGCCATAACTGAGAGCAACATCGAGTCCAATAGCGTAGCCACATTGTGGGCGAATCTTGCTTGTATGAGGGTTCTCAGGTGCCCACAGTTCCTCACAGGCCTCACAGCCCACAGCACAGTCCGCCAGTTGGACAACACCAAAGCCGAAGGGACATGATTGTTGTCGAATATCTGAGACATACCATAAAACGCCTACATTACACACGGTGTATGCCCTACCAACAGGTTGAGCCTCTCGGACTATATCGGGCAGGAGCATCTCCTCGAGGCCTCGCTCCATCGGCCAGGGTGCGAACCACCTACCTCGGCATTAGTGTGTGATTGTTAATGCATATGCTTCCCTTAGTACCTGGACTCACGGTAATTACCATCATCTGCCAAGAGCATTTTGGGCCGCACTAACAGCACACGGCCACGATAGAGGAACACTCGACAGTTGTAACCGGTCGACTTGAATCTGAGAACAACGACCACGACTTCGCCGCCGCCGACCACCTCATAACATCCCAGCATTACAAAGCTGGCATTCCTATGTCCAGTAGCATATCCAAATTTGAGGTTGCCGTCTACAAAACCAACATATAACATTGAGAGGGCCGCAGTCCTATTACGATGATGTGCGCAAGAGACTCCCAGCAATGATGGAAAGTGTCCGTCTCAAGGAAATGGTCTTCACAACCATAGCCAGAGAGCTCCAATTCTGGACCCGTACTGAAGACGCCTCGACAAAGACGTTTTGTCCTGTCTACTTACCGGAACTTGGCATTTTTCTCATGAGCAATTCGTATGCTTTCAATAACCCTTCTCTCGTTGCCGTCGAAATCGAGAGCCCATTGGTCCAAGTTGCAAGTCGCGACCACAGCCATCAACTGGCCCACCATTAGAAAGCGGATATTCTACTTCTATCCCTCATCGATGCAACTCGAGGGAGAATTTCCCCGCACTGGTAACGCAACTCTACTACTAATCCAGCAGAAGAGCACATGAACTATAGAACATGTCAAGACTCATGTTTGATACTCTTCTGAAATTGACAGAAAACGATGGTGGAGCCGCTGTGTGTAGCATCCCTATTTCGTATGATTCTTCATAACAACAAGAACAGTACTGTTGCCCATTCGTATCGTTGCCCAACTGCATTGTAACACGGCTCATAATTTTAAGGAGACAAGGGCACCTACTTACAATAGGATTGTGCGCGCGTGCCGCTGTCCCACAGGAACAGTTCTAGCGTATTAATTTGAGACAGGGAGTGATCATAGGTGGTTGAACCTTATGGCAAGTAATGGAAACACACAGTTGAGTTACTCGCCTTGGGTGGAAGCCTGAATTGGAACGGGCTTCGGCTGACTGAAGTAGGCATGGGTCAACTGACGATGTCTCAGCAGTCCGAATAAGCCACAGCCTGATCGAGCTCCCTGAAGATTCGTGCAAGCTCTGATAGATCTGACCCTGCCCTTGACCATAACACGGCAGCCCTGTAATGGCCAAAATTGCATAAATTTTACACGTGGCGCGGCAAAATTAGTGGCAGGAGAGTAGTTGAAGAGGAATTTCAAGTGACTACAAGTTTTCAAGATTTTGTAAGCTAGCGTGTGACGCGGCGCACGTAAGTTGTATTTCGTTACTTGAAAACGATAGATATTTGAACATCATCATTCCTGTAGATTTTCGTATCATTTTCGAGAGCCCTATCTCAATGGCAAGACCAAGTCCTTGTACCACCACCACCAACGGTGAAGTGGCAGTCCAGGACAGTGACGAGGGTACTCCGGTGAAAGCCGATATTGATCCATCCCCCTCTAAATTGTCCCGAGCCAAGCCCTATTGCTTTTGCTGCTTGCGCTATGGTTTCGCGTGCCTTGTTGGTGCCATTATCGCTATCGGTATTGTTCTTATCATCTTATGGCAGTACGGACTGCTAGGTGGGAAGGGCACCAACAGGCCAACGGTCATCGACTTGGGCGATCTCCCTTATCCTATTGCCACTGCCGGCTACACCTCGCTTAACCTTACCCTTACCCCAGTGGCTTCTGCCCTCCAATATAAGCCCAAAATTTTCTTGGTAGAAACTCAGCCAGCGCGCGGTGGGGGAGACGCCAGACGTTTCCTCGCCGACACATTCACTGATGGAGCCTGGACTGTTGCCTTACGTGCGAAATATGAATCGAGGCCAACTACGGCAATCCTCAATGGCATGTCGCCGTCATCCTCGGTCGTAGTGAGGTACAGGATTGAGATGGATGACAATCGTGTGAGTAGTCCGTCAGTCGCTATCGTGGTAACGACTCTCACACCAGCGGCTCCTTCAGTTCCCGGTGAGTAATGCGTATGATGCAACAACAAAGGGAACGTTTTCTTAGGTCTATCAGCATTTAACACATCGTCTACGTCGGTATCGGTCTCGATCGTCCCTCCTATGTCTAGTCATGGCTCGAACATTACCCGATATGATCTAAGATATGCGGTAATCCGCATAGTTCTTCTCGCCAAGTGCGCTTTTTGATTGTTTCACGTTCCTCAGGTCTCGTCCGGTCAAACACCCACCAACTGGAGCTCGATGACGGTCCAAGCTGCTGATGTATCCAAAGTAAATACAAAAATAACTCACAAAATAGCTTTATGGATCTGTTTAGCCACATACAGTCTCTGCTCTGTCACCTGAGCAGACTGTTCTTTTTACCGTCACTGCAGTGAACGGCGTAGGTTCGAGCCCCGCATCCTCCACTTATACAATGAAAACTGATGCTACTGGAGCCAGTGCCCCAGCCAAGGTAAACGATATTTAGTTACTTCTCCTCCAGTCACATTGCCTACGTTTCTCTCCATAGGTTGGTACGGTTAGTCCGAGTCATATCACATCAAACTCTGTTGATCTCGCTTGGCCAGCCACCAATGATCACGGCGCAATGATCCTCCGATATGTGGTGTCTATCGATGAACATCGCACTGTGGATGTAGATGGTCATCGCCTAAACACTACCATTACGGATTTAGCAAGAGCTTCCTCCTATACGTTCAAGGTCCATGCTGTGAATTCTCATGGGAACGGTGAACCGTCTGATCCTATCACAGTGAAGACCAAGGATACTTGCAGTGCGGATCCTCCAAGTCAACCAACGATTCAGGCAGTGTTCTCCGATGGTATCAGCATTCGGTGGTATCCTGCTACTAATCCTAGCTGCTCTCTTGAAGTCACAGGTTATCGTGTCATTTACGCTGATGGGAGTGGTGTGGCATGCTCTCCTTCAGCTGGGCTCAATTTCTGTGATATTACAGGCTTGTCTAATAAGAAAACTTATTCTGTAAAGGTCCAAGCTGAGAACTCGGCGGGCTGGTCTAACCTCACGACCCCAACCATCATCGCTCAAACCCTGGATAGGGCACCAAGTGGCATTGGGTGCAACACGAGGGATCAGGTCCGTTGGTGGATGTCGGTTCAGAACAACGATGGTAGTTCACTTTACTATGACGGATACAAGTTTACCAAGGAGATGGTATCTTGTGCTCAGAATACACTCGCAGATATCGACAAGGACGCGGAGTGTCTGACTGCCTATACTCGGGATCCCGGTCGCACTCCCTTCGGTCTAAAACCCCTCAGTGGAGTCTGTGCTAACCTCATGGGGGTCCTTGCTGATTGTGGTAAGCAACACTGCATCGCAGAATGTATTAGCGATGCTGGAAGCGCTGGTTGTTTGGAGTGCAATCGGAAACAATGTATCCCAGCTTTTTATTCAAACGGTGGTCTAACACGTTCGATAGCTCCTGAAGATCCGCGGTCAAGATAAGAGCGATGAGGAATACGTCATTTTTTCCAAGCGACGTTGTTATTTCATTCCGTATTGTAGTCTATACGAAAAGTGTTCAATCAGGAATACTTGCTCGACTTTGTTCGGGTTGTAGTATCTTTTTGAGGAGGTTTCGACCATTTCAAACGGGTTGATTTCCCTCAGTCATTCAATCGGATAGATCTTATCGGTTCTTCGCGCGGTTCGTGGCTGCTCAGTGATGAACTTTACTTAGTACTTCTGTTGAACTTATTAATACAATAATTGACGTTCTCTCGTGTTGGGCACTACATGTGGGATAACCTTCACCGAAAGATGCAGTTCACGTCAGATATGATACCAATGTGTTCGAGAGCGTGTGAGTCTGTGTCCTACTGTATCTCACTTCGCGTACAGCGAGATGATGGAAATACATGGGAATCAGACGAAACGTCTCGTTGAGGATACTCGACATGGATTATAACCAAGCTCACGCGTGATATTTGCGTATAAGGATTATAACTATCGCGGCCCCCTTGCCGAGAGTCCGAGATGAGTTTGACGACGCATTATCCGCACTCCTTGCTCATGGTAATGCGTCCCCTTTGCTATGGCATATCTGCTCCAAGCGATGTAATCTGTCTTACTAATAGTGAAAGCGATCTCCGCGCCGGTCGAAACCAGAACCAATTTGATCGTTCAGAGAAAGTTGATCCTCCTATCTCGTGCTCCGGCGAGATTGATTGTACCAAGACATATCTTGGGATGGCATAGGCGCCCCGGCCAATGAAATTGATTGCACTGAGGCTTATCTTGGGATGGCATAAGCGCCCCGGCCGATGTAATTGATTGCACTGAGGCTTATCTTGGGATGGCATAGGCGCCCCGGCCGATGTAATTGATTGCACTGAGGCTTATCTTGGGATGGCATAGGCGCCCCGGCCGATGTAATTGATTGCACTGAGGCTTATCTTGGGATGGCATAGGCGCCCCGGCCGATGTAATTGATTGCACTGAGGCTTATCTTGGGATGGCATAGGCGCCCCGGCCGATGTAATTGATTGCACTGAGGCTTATCTTGGGATGGCATAGGCGCCCCGGCCGATGTAATTGATTGCACTGAGGCTTATCTTGGGATGGCATAGGCGCCCCGGCCGATGTAATTGATTGCACTGAGGCTTATCTTGGGATGGCATAGGCGCCCCGGCCGATGTAATTGATTGCACTGAGGCTTATCTTGGGATGGCATAGGCGCCCCGGCCGATGTAATTGATTGCACTGAGGCTTATCTTGGGATGGCATAGGCGCCCCGGCCGATGTAATTGATTGCACTGAGGCTTATCTTGGGATGGCATAGGCGCCCCGGCCGATGGAATTGATCTTACTGGAAGCGAAATAGACCACTGCTTGAGTAGTCCACCGCAGTAATATAGTCCAATAGTACTCTACCTCTTTTATGAGCGCTATACTGAGCTTCAATACTAGAGTCGAAGCGCTTGAGTGAGATCTTGAGAATGTCTATTAGTGATTAGTATTCGTCCGGGAGCGTCCCCACTAGATCTTCCAGTACAACTGTGATCTGCAGCTTTTCGGGCGTGCGCTTTCTCCGTTGGATTCTACGGGTCGGAGCTAGGGAAGATAGTTTCTACTAGCGTGTTGATTTCTTAGTATCGCTCCATGGTATTCACTTTCATCCACGGAAGCTACCAATGTGCTGCGGTGTTTCGTGTAGATATTATCTTAATCATAGTGGTGGTTAATTGTCTGTTTTGGTCGAAGGGGCTTGTAGCTCAGGTGCCAACATTTTCGTTATTTATCCGATCAGTTACTTGTGTTCGACCTTCTGTCAGCTCTGCTGTGCTTGTGGCCTTGAGTATTGTTCCACAATCTGAGGGGTACACGGATTAGCAGCCTGTTGTCAATCTTTTCAATTTTCAGAAGCTACATTTCTCTCCCTTAATAATTATGTCAGCCCCTGCCGCATCCGCGACAACCACTGCGGCCCCTGTGCCTTCTCAGAGTGCTGCTTTGGAGCAACAGCGTAAGCAACTCTCCGCTGCTGATGTCCTCAGCAAGGCCACCGCGGCCGCCTTCCGTGGTGGCATTGCTGGTGCCTCTGCCCAGGTCGTTAACGTGTTCGCCCTCATGTGGATGCGTACTACCATGAACTATCAGTATCGTTATGGTGGTCATCTTGGTGAGGTCCTCAAGAAGCTCTACTCTGAGGGCGGTGTTCCTCGATTCTACCGTGGTCTCGTCCCTGCTTTGATCCAGGCCCCCATGTCCCGTTTCGGTGATACTGCTGCTAACGTTGGTGTGTTGGCCCTTTTAGATAACACTCAGGCTACTCAGAATATGCCCATCGGTGTAAAGACTGCTTTCGCGTCTTGTGGTGCCGCATGCTTCCGAGCTTTCCTCATGCCTATTGATGCTTGGAAGACCACCAAGCAGGTCGAGGGTGAAGCTGGTATGAAGGTTCTCATTAATAAGGTGAAGACTCACGGTATCACCAATTTGTGGCATGGTACTCTCGGTGCCATGGCCGCCACCTGGGTTGGTCATTACCCGTGGTTTGTCACCCATAACACTTTGAATGCTCACTTGCCTGAATTCAACTTCAAGCATGGCAAGTATGTGCGTAATGCTCTGCTCGGTTTCTGCTCATCCTTCGTGTCCGATTGCATTTCGAACTCCCTTAGGGTGCTCAAGACCACTAAGCAGACTTCCCAGGTCCCTCTGAGCTATCCTCAGGCTGTTAGGGATATCGTCGCTAAGGACGGTTATGCTGGTCTCTTCGGTCGTGGCCTTGCTACCCGTATTATTACTAATGGTATGCAGGGTATGTTCTTCTCGGTTATGTGGAAGGCCTTCCAGGAAACTCTCGATAACAGGGCCAAGGAGAAGCAGCGTCAGGCCTTGTTGAAGTCTGCGTAGGTAGGCAGCTGTCTTGGACTCGTTCTCTAAGATGCGCCTTGAGTCCATGTGGAGGTTAGTGTTTAGTAACATTACGGGTTGTCGGCCCGTCAGGTTCACACTTATACTCTTTTCTGGAATGATTATCCTATCGTAGTAATGAGTCGTGTTCAGTGTCATATTGTGGGAGTGGGTACTGAGTTGTGTCATTTTAGCTCGACGGCATGATTTGTTTTATTGATGAGTTCTACTGCGAAAGTTGACAGATCGTCAGTGGGAAGGATAAGCGTCTTAATAAGAGTCGTTAATGATGTACTGTCCATTAGAACGTTGTGTAGTTATATGGGGTTTATCTAGGCACTCATAACTACCTTGGGGAGCGATGTTGCTGTACTTGGTTTCCTGCCCATGATGGCTGCTAAGCGACAGTCAGCAGTCTCCGAGGAGTGGGAAAGGGCGTAGAAGGTGATAATGGACTTCCCTAGGTATTTGGAGGCTCTTGTGGTGGTTGGTGGTGAAGTCTCTGTGAGATTGAGATAAGGTAGCCGAATGTATTTCGCAAGACATTGCCATTGAGATGGGGCTTTCGTGAACGTATTATAAGTATATCAGAATAAGAAGGATTTTGTTAGACTCGGTGTATTCGGAAAGAATGTTTTTGGTGTGGTAGGAAACTTCAAGGTTTACCCCGTCACGACGCTCGATATTGTCCACAGCAGAGGTTTCTTCAAGCATTCACCTGCGGAGAGCCACAGGTCACCACCATTGAGTAAAGTGTTACCCGAGCAGCGAAGAACAGTTGAAAGATCTTAACACTGTTTTGGTAATGTTCATGGAAAACGTATCTGTTGGGTCGAGCGAGCGCGTCATGTTTGTGCATGCGTGCAGGTCATGTTCTTCAACCCCTCGAGAGCGTTATCATACGCGTCACCTTGAGTACGGTTTATTTTATTACCTTATTGATGCCTAAGTCGGGTCCGGCGGCTTTCGCTGGTGGACTAGAGTCGCCTATTGCAGAGAAGGGCTACGAAACGACACGAGATAGACCTCAATGGAACTGTTTGGTTGACCTTTTGCCAGCCGGCTCACAAACGGCTGCTGTGTTCAATGTGATGAAGGCTACGTTGGGAGCGGGAATTTTATCTCTCCCATTTACTATGCTCTCTGCTGGCCTTGTTCTTGGGCTTATTCTCCTCAGTGTTATGGCTGGGTTGTCTGTTCTTTCAGTGGGACTAATCGTGAGGGTGGTACATAAGAGCGGCCGAGATACGTATGAGGAAGTAGTTGATCTCCTTTTTGGTCGACGATGGGGATTCCTTTATCAGTTGGCTATGTTTGTCTTTTGCTTCCGCACAAGTGCGGTGTATATAGTTACTATCTACGACATTGTAAGTCCTGTAACAATTCATGCCTTCGGGAAAGATCCTGAGGTGTGGTATGCAATAATTTTGACAAACAGGATGTACTTCAGTGTGTTGGTAACAGTGATAGTACTGCTCCCTGTGTCGTTAATGAAGACTATTAACTCTATTCGTTATCTAACTCTCACCGGTTCCCTCTGTGCATGTTTTCTAGCGATAACATCACTGTACGTGGTGACACGCTACGGTGCGGCCACGACTTTCACTTCGGACATGCTATGGAAGCCTTTGAACGTGTCGTCACTTGTGAGTGCATTCAACACGTACTTATTCGCCTTTGCAAATCAGCCTAATATACCTGAGATTTTTACCGAACTTTCTACTCCTACACCCCGCACTATGCGCAAGGTTACACTCATTAGCATATTCTCGGTCCTGCTACTCTACGCCGTGGAAGGAGGTCTATTCCTCGTTGCCTATGGTACGAATACAAAGTCCAACATCCTCACCAGTCTCGGTGATAGATTGAATGAAGGCGACTTGGTGGTCGCTCTAGCATTTCTGATGACGGCAGTGACGGTCGTGAGTTCATTTCCTCTGAATATCTACCCTGTAAGAATCACCATTTTACACTCCCTACGACCAGAGAGGAATAAGACTGTGATTGGTATGGTTGTTTCTACTCTAACTGTCGTCTTAGCTCTCTGTGTTGCTATTATTTTACCCGATGTCAACGTTATTCTGGGCGTGGTTGGAGCTATGGCCGGCTCAGTGATATGCTTTCTAACTCCG